TAAGTTATGGGAACCTTTATGATTCTGGACGTCCACCCATGAAGGAACCTGAAGCTCATCAATCTTTCCCACTTCTGGATTTCCTTCTTTACGGACATGAAATCTACTTCCAGACCATAGACTGTACCAGACACCTAGATCAGCCTTTTCCAACTGGCTTGTCTCCAAGGTCACTGCTGATGTCGGCCCTGTTCTAAGAGAGGCTCAGACCTGCACGGCCACTGGGACCAGACCTTCCATTTAGGAGTCTTAAATAAGAAACAACCAAAAGTCCAGACAGGTGCAGCTGCCAGAAGAAGATAAAATAAACCAGTTGCATTTGTTCCACAGATTTGAAAGAGGTGGCCATTATTGTAATCGCTAAAGCCACTGCCTGTAAACCTAATTGTCTGTGAGGGGCTTTAAATGCATTTACAATCATTTCTAACGCTGCAAGCCAAAAGCTCGGAGTGTCCCAGTCCCCCAAACATAGTTTATGAAAGCTGCCTCAGCGTTTTATGCCACAGTGAGGAGAAAACAGAAACACTACAGTGTTTTTATAAAGCCACACTTTATGTAGCCCAGCTGGGTAATGTTGTTTCACTCTTCCCCTGACAGCTGCCTCGGCTTTCTGTCACTTTCACACCGTTATCTTTCTGCAACAACTCACCTCCCACAAGATCTGCGAGCCAGACGTTCCCTTCGGCAAAATCAAAACCATGTTAGCCGCGGCGCTGGTGATGATGCCTGTTAGAGTGAATGAAAACACTTTCTGGGTGCGTGGATCCATTAAGGTCATTAGGTTGTTGCTGGTATAATAAGCCCAAGGGTCCCCCAGGTGGGGGACCCTGTGACATTAGTTCTTTAACAGGCCCAAAACAACCCACACACTACAGATGAAATAGTACTAATTCCCATCAAACTATTCAGCAAACCCAGCACTACAAGGCTTTTTAAACTATTTTACCATGAAATACTATTTTTACCATTTTTTGAGGAATAGGCTTCAAAATAGTGCCTGAAGACCTTGAGTAGAGCCTGCAGAGACCATCCATGTCACAGTGAGGTCTTCATCCTCCAGCTCAGCAGTGAACATCTTTTTGGACCACTGTAGGTTTCCTCCAGGAGAACAACGCTAGAATCAGCTGCCCACAGAAGTCGAGGTTTGTCCGATGACGACAGCTCTGAATCTTAATGCTCAGGCCCGGCACGATGGCTCTGCCAGAGTGGCCTAAAGAAAGACATGTCACATAAACCTTGTGAACTCCTGAGTGTGTAACGTGTTGGCTCTTATAATGGTGGATGTATGGATCGATGCAGCCACGGAGCCTCGCTTTAAGGCTGCAACCTAGTAGCAGCACAGGACCTGTTATTTATCACTGACTCAAATCTAAACAAAACATCTGGGGATTTGTAACTAAATATTTAACCAAGATTTGATTTAAATCATTAGATTTGAATTTGTAAGTTAAAAAGATTTAAAGGTTTAGTTTTTATTTTAAAAATTTAAAATCAAAGTTCATATATTTAGTTTGATTCTAATTATTTAGGTTTAATTATTAGACATTTAGATTTGATTTCAAATATTTAGCTTGGACTAAGCATCTTCAAATTTGATCCTATTTATATAGCATAGTCGAGTTAAACTAACTCTTTAGCTTTCACTGATTTATTTAAATTTTATTTTACATTTTCAGCTTTAAATGTACATTTTGTATTATTTTAAATATTTATTTTTCACTTTAATTGGTAAACAATTCTATTGCTTGTTCAACTTTATATATTTAGATTGGCTTATAAATGTAACGTTATGAAGTTCATAATTTTCAGCTCCACACAGCTGCCCCTGTACACAGTAACTCCCGTGTAGAAAACGCCAAGTTCGGGTGTTCCTCAGACTGTTTACATTCCAGGAGAAGAGCCAGAAGGAGAAGAAGAACGCTTTTCAATAATCAAAGTACTTAATTTGTGATTAAAGCTAGTCGAAACAGATGTTGATCAATAATAATCAAGTGAATGATCTGTGGAATAAAGATGTCATGATTTATGTGTTTAATGAAAACAGGACTACTGCACAGACAGACTGACCCTCATCTCCATAGAAACGCATGACACATTGTTCCAACCAATGAGAGCTTTCGGCTGCCGCAAGAGAATCTGGCTTGTTGACTTAAAGTGTCATATTCGCTTTACTAAAACTTATCAACAACTCAGAGATATAAAAACAAGGCAATGCCATTTTATGAGCAGTTCCATTTTGACTTCAGTTCTATTCACCGTCATCGCAAAGAGAAGCACAGCCTGGCCAGATGTGTTTTCTTCTTTAAACTAAGAACTGTGAAGTTGGAGATTTTCGTCGTTTAACAACAAGACGACATCCTTTCAAAATAAGAGCACCTGCTGACGCTGCCGATTGTTACCTGGGTCGACCCTTCAGACGGGCTTTGAAACGCTGTGACCACGGTTTCGACCAGCTCCAGCGCACATCCGAGGTCTTCAGACCTGGCATTTCCTGATCTACCTGGGAGGCCCCCACTGGGTACGTACACGGCAAAATAGCAGCTCATGTCATCACTTTATAAGCCTCGTGATATCTAGTCATAACAATCAAAGACTACCAGATTCAATGACGTCAGCCTAAGGTGTCTGAACCAACCACACACACACACACACACACACACACATCGAACATCACATTCATTTCCAAACAACACAGAGTTAGTCCTGATAGATTGTAGAATTTATAATAAAATTCTTAAATGATCCCAACTCTCTCTTTTCTTGTCTCAAGGTCAATACAGAGTGTTAAATGAACTCCCTGATGATAAAAACAACCTATTCTTCTGATTATAACAAGTGATCTACTTACAGTATATTAAAATACAACTCTAGATCGTTACATCACTCTATTTCACTACATAAATATGTAGTTTTAATATTGTTTAGATTAATGTTTAAATATTTAAACACAACACTAATTTACCATCGTTATGGTATTGCAAAAAAAAGACGTAGACCTTCTTAACATGTCTTTTATTATTCAGAGATAAACAGGAAGTTATTGAGTTTGTATTAGTTTACAATCAGCAAGGGAAATCTTCAGATGTCTGAGATGGCTTGGACATCTGGTCAGGATGCCTCCTGGACGCCTTTTCCGGGCATGCCCAAGTGGGAGAAGATCTGAAGGGAGACCCAGGACACGCTGAAGGGACTATGTCTCTCAGCAGGCCAGGGAACGCCTTGGGAATCCCCCGGAGGAGCTGGTCCAAGTGGCTGGGGAGAGGGAAGTCTGGGCCTGAGATGGATGGATGGATGGATGGATGGACGGACGAACAGATGGATCAATGGATGGATGGATGGATTGTCGGATGGATGGATGGGTTGTCAGATGGATGGATGGGTTGTCGGATGGATGGATGGATAATTGTTTGGATGGATGGATGGATGGATGGATGATTGCATGGATGGATGGAGGGATGGATGGGCTGTTGGATGGATGGATGGATGGATGGGTGGATGGTTGTAGAAGAAGAAAATATCATTTCTATAGTGCCTCTCAAGATAAAAATCACGAGGCGCTTCACAAAAACAAAAAATGTAAAAATATAAAAAAGAATTTAGAAAATGTTGAAAAATATATTTAAAATGAGCAAAAAGAGACAATTGTGATCAAAAAAAGTAAAAAAAAAGAGAGAGAGTGAATAGGAAAAAGGGAAATCAGTGGATCCTGAGGAAGGTGGAATAGGTGAGGAGAGCAGAAAAGAGAGAGTGGTGAAGAAGATCATACAAAAGCCAGCTTGAACAAGTGAGTCTTCAGCTGCTTTTTAAAGGAGACCACTGAGTCCACTGATCTCAGGCTCAGGGGGAGAGAGTTCCAGAGTCTGGGGGCCACAGCAGCAAATGATCTGTCACCTTTGGTCTTTAGCCTGGTGCTGCACAACCAGTAGGCTTTGATCACTGGACCTCAGGGACCTGCTGGGGTGTAGGGACTAAGAAGATCACCAATGTAAGATGGTGCTTGTCCATGTAAGGCCCTATAGACCAGAACCAGGATCTTGAAATGAACCCTGAAGTTGACTGTCAGCCAGTGAAGCTGGAGGAGAAGTGGGGTGATGTGGGTGTGTTTGGAGGACTTGGTCAGAAGCCGATCACAGGCATTCTGAACCACCTGTAGACGGTTCAGGGAGGTTCTGCTCAGACATGTGAAAAGAGAGTTACAGTAGTCTAAGCGTGAGGAGATGAAGGAGTGGATAACTGTCTCAAGTTCAGAGTGGGACAGAATGGGACTCAGCTTAGCAATGTTCCTGAGATGGAAGAAGGAAGAGTGAACAAGAGAACTGACATGAGAATCCAGGGTGAGAGCTGGGTCAAAGGTCATGCCAAGATTCCTGACAGAAGGTTTGGTGTGAGAAGCAAGCTGACCAAGAGAGTCTCTGACTTTGGGAACCAGCTTGTCTGGAGCACAGATGAGGATCTCAGTCTTATCTTCATTCAGCTGTAGAAAGCTCCCAGCCATCCAGGTTTTGATATAGTCTAAGCAGGTGTGAAACAGCTGCAGCTTAGACATCTCATGGGGCTTAAAGGAGATGTACAGTTGGATGTCATCTGCATAAAGATGGTAGGAGATTCCTTTGAAGGAGCTCAGGATGTGCTGAAGAGGAAGCAGATAGAGGAGGAAGAGCAGAGGCCCCAGCACAGAACCTTGTGGGACACCATGGGTAAGGGAGGTGGTGGAGGACCTAAACTTGGAGACGGCCACAGAAAAGGAGCACTCAGAGAGATAAGAGGAGAACCACTCCAGAGCAGATCCTGATAGGCCTACCCAGTCTCTCAGCCTCTCCAGTAGCAGGTGATGGTCAACAGTGTCAAAGGCTGCAGTCAGGACCAGCCGGACCAGAACAGAACAGTCCCCTGCATCACTGTGAGTCAGAAGGTCATTAGAGACCCTAAGAAGAGCTCTTTCAGTAGAATGAGCTCTACGAAAACCTGACTGGAAGCTATAATAGATGTTATGTTCATCAAGAGTTCATCAAGATGTTCAATCAACGAAAGTTCTGTCTGATTGTATCCTTGAGGTCAAGCAATGGCTAGCTGACAACTTCCTCCATCTTAATGACTCCAAAACTGACTTAATCGTTTTCAGTCCTAACAGTACCACGGCGACTCATCAACCTGACCTCAACTATCTCTCACCTAATGTGTCCTCTGTAATCTCCAACCTTGGAGTAAAAATGGACCAGGCTCTGAAGATGGATGCCCAGGTCTATAACACAGTTAAATCATGTTTTTACCAACTAAGACGCATCTCCAAACTAAAGCACATCCTGAGTGTCCGTCTTCTGAAATCGGTGGTCCACACTTTTATCACCTCAAGGCTGGATTACTCTAACTCCTGCTTATACGGCATCAGTAAAGCAGCTCTTTCTAGACTTCAGCTGGTCCAGAATTCAGCAGCTAGGTTGCTGACTGGAGCTGACAGAAGACAACACATTTCTCCAATTCTGAAATCTCTCCACTGGTTGCTCGTGCAGTTCAGGATAAACTTCAATATTATGCTTCTCACTTACAAATCCTTGAACCATCAAGCTCCTCCATATCTGTGTGAACTTGTCCATTACTACAACCCGCCGCATGCTCTCAGGTCTGAAGATAAGCTCCTCCTAGCTGTTCTGAATGCACGTTTAAAAAGCCATGGAGAAAGGGCTTTCTCTGTCTGTGCACCGAAGCTGTGGAACGCATTACCACTGCTAGTGAGGCAAGCACCAACAGCTAGCATTTTTAAATCACGCCTGAAAACTCACTACTTCAACCTAGCTTATACAACATAATTATGGACCTCACTGACATCTGCACTGTTTAAAAATGGACTCCACAATCATCGACTTCCGTATTATTGAGGTTCTTTGTAAAATGTTTTTTCCTATTTTTATTCACCCTGTGTCTTATTGATTTTTAGCTGTTATTTTTGGGAATTTTGTTGTATTTCCTTTTTATCTTTTATCTGTGTTCGACATGTTTGTATAACGCCGGTTTAATTAACCAACATTTTTAGTGTACAGCACCTTGTTTGGTTGTAATGTCTTGTGAATGCGCTTTATAAGTAAAATTGGATTGGATTGGATTGGATTGGATTGGAAGAGCAGCTGTGAGTTGTTTAGCCACAACCTTTTCCAAGATCTTGGAGATGAACGGAAGTTTTAAGATGGGTCTGAAGCTGCTATGGAGAGAGGGGTCGAGACTCGGTTTTTTAAGAAGCGGGTGGATTACAGCGTTCTTAAAGTAAGCAGCAACCTGACCAGAAACCAGAGAAGCATTAATTATAGAGAGCACGCTGGGACCGATGGACTGAAAAGCACTTTTAAACAAAGATGAGGGTAAGATGTCGAGGGGGCATGCAGAGGTCTTCATAGAGTTAACTAGTTTGGTTAACTCAGGCAAAGAAACAGGAGCAAAGCTATCTAGGATGACGGTCCTGGTTGGAGTCGGGAGAGGCAGCGATAAGGCTGAAGGAAAGATGCTAGATCTAACCTTATTGACTTTGTCCACAAAGAAAGACAGAAAGTTCTCACAGTCTGTAACAGAGTGGATGGAGGCTGTAGGAGAGGCAGGAGAGACGATGCTGCTGATGGTGTTAAACAGCACCTTGGGGTTCCCTTTGCTCTGGGACACCAGGTTGGAGAAATAGGAAACCCTTGCATCTCTGACTGCAGAGTTAAAGGATGACAGAAGATCCTTTAGGTGCAGCAGATGGACGTGGAGATGGGTTTTCTTCCACAAACGCTCAATTTTTCTGCATTGGCGCTTTAGGCTGCGAAGGCTGTTATTAAACCAGGGAGTAGGGTTCACTGCAGGAACTGATCTGGTTCTGACAGGACAGATAATGTCCAGAATGGAGAGGCAGTGCTCGTTAAACTGAGAAGTTAAGGAATCTGGGTCGTTATCAGAAGAACAGGGTGGATCAAAAGCAGCAGAAAAATTGCTAGCTGTGCTCTCATTAAGAAAACGAGAACTAACCATACGACGAGCAGGAGGTGGGGACGCAGAAACTGACAAGTTAAAGAAAATGCAATGGTGATCTGAAATATAAACGTCCTCAGGAAAAACACTGTCAGCATTTAGACTCAGGGTAAAAACAAGGTCTAGAGCGTGCCCCCTGGTGTATGTGGGGCCAGAAACATGCTGGGTAAAGCTGAAGGAGTCCATAAGGCTGGAGAAATTCATGGCAAAGTGATCAGTGGGATCATCAACGTGGATGTTAAAGTCACCAACAATCACCAGTCTGGACAGCTTCACAGTGGAGGTTAGAAAGTCACTAAACTCCTGAAGGAAAGAACTGTTTGGACCAGGTGGACGATAGACCACAGCACAGTAGAACGGGTCCTTACGCCCAACTTTAATCAGCTGCAGTTCAAAGGAAGCAAAGTGACCAAAGGTTGTAGAGCTACAAGGAAGATGGTCTCTGAAAACAACAGCTAGGCCTCCACCACGACCAGAACCCCGGGGCTGGCTAAGAAAAGAATAACCACTCAGGCAAAGTTCAGTCAGACCAGAATAATCAGATGTTTGCTGCCAAACTTCAGTCAGAAACTGAAAATCCAGGTTTTTAGAGAGAACTAGATCATTGAGCAGGAAGGTCTTATTGTTAACAGAGCGGGTATTTAATAGGGCCATGCTGAGTGAGGAGGAGGAATCAGAAACTACAGATGGATGTTGGATGGATGGATGGATGGATGGATGGATGGAAACTATGAACATTGTTCTGATCAGGTCGCTAACTTAACGAGCTGCTCTCTCCTCGTTGTTCCCCTGGTCAGCATTGGTGAAGTCAGACGTGAACCTGCAGGTTGAGCTGAAGTTAAACATGTCTGCAGTGATGTAAATAGAGAGAGTGGTCTTCTGGAGGAGCTGCTGTGATGGATGGATCCACACCTCTTCTCTCCTGTCAGTGATTCCAGAGTGACAGGTAGACTGTGACGAGGAAAGGGGGACAACAGCATAACAGTGATTGGCTCTCCACCCGTCTCCACCCCCTCCTCCGGTCACAGGAGGTGTCCCCTGCCCAGTGGCATGTGGAAATGTGTAATGGAGATGGATGGTGGCTGGGAGTAGATGGACTCCTCCCTAAATGCCTTGCTGCCAGCCTCCATCAGTCTCCCCGTGACTGTCTGCCAAGACCTAGCGCCCCGCCCAGGTTCTGGCCCGACCGCCTCGTTCCACTCACAGCACAGCAGCTATTAGCCTAGATGATGTTGAACGTCCACTGGAAACCTCCTTTTCTGGATCTCACCCTCCCCTTCAGTGCTGACTTCCTGCTAAATGCTGGGAGGATATCAAGCAGCCAAATCAAAACGCACAACAAGATGTGAGAAGGGCCCAGAGGTGGAAACAAGCATCAGCAGCAGTTTCTGCTCTAATCCTCTGGGAGGGTGTAAAGCTGCTGTCGCTGTCTTCCTACACCGTCCTGAGCCCGGAGCTGTGTACACGTTCAGATGTAATGTTCAGACGTGTGTGCGTGTGTGCGTGCGTGTGCGTGTGTGTGTGTGTGTGTGTGTGTGTGTGTGTGTGTGTGTGTGTGTGTGTGTGTGTGTGTGTGTGTGTGTGTGTGTGTGTGTGTGTGTGTGTGTGTGTGTGTGTTCCTACCAGACGCTCTGAAGTTCCCCTTACCATCAGGTCCAACAGTCAGACTCAGGTTAGTTTAATTAAGCTGCTGGATCAATAAACTCTTTTATTTCACCTTCCTGGAATTCCAGCTGTGTCTGGCTAGACCAGGACAACCTTTCTGGGATCCTTGGGAAGGTCCATTAAAGCCCATTAAGGTGGCACCAAGACAACAAACAGCTGTAGCTTATTGTGGACAAATGACATTTCTACAGTTGTGATGAGGGCAGAGAGATGGGTAAAAATCTCAGGAGTCAGATTCTGATAAATGTCATGTTTCTGATAAATGATGAGTAAACTTACCCTGGTCCTCACCTTTTTGTTGTTTACCTGACACCTGATGTAGGGACAGGTGTGTTGGAGCAGAGACACCTCTGAAACATGAAGGACGGTGGCCCTGGAAGGCCACGATCAGTTCAGACACTAAAAGCAGAAGGAGGACATTTTGAGACACAGGAAGTGAAAGTTAACCAGAATCTACTTCTTATGGATGAATTGCACTTGAGCTAAAAAGCCAAGATTGTTTTCTACGGTCCATCTGAGGGTTAGGTGCATTTACATCTAAATGGTTAATAAACGGGGAGCCTTTATTCTAGTTTACACGTACGTTAGAAAACCGAACCCTCTTACGAAGTCCATCCCACGTTTTAGTCCACCAAATGAACACAAGGCTATGGTAGACTTACATGGTTAGCGTGTTTCCCGGTGGTGCAGGAAAATGGAACGGTAACAGAAGTATAAGTCTGCACTGCTGCTCATTATTTAACAAAACCAAATCAAACGTAGTGAAATATCCCACTTTAGTGATTAAAACCGTAAAATAACCCCAGAAATGATCTTCTTCCACTCATGGATCTGATCGGTGGGACTCAAGCCTAAACGCCAAATCCTTTTCTGGACTCGTTTCCTTCTATTGCACGCTGCTCGAACCAGTCAGAACAGAGAAAATTGGACTTTTTCTCTTCTTTTATGCTGTGGGTGAATTTCAGGCCCTTTACAAACTGATTGTGTTCCCATAATGAACTGGAGACGGCAGATAGTTCAGGTGCTCGCTGCTTCACAGCCACTGACTCTGTGGCTAATTAGTCAACATTAGCTGAGAGTGTTGGAGCCAGATGTTAAACAGTAACAGGTCCAGTTGTGCTGTGAGTCTGAAAACCAGAACCCTCTCACCAGAGTAAAAGAAAACGCCGGCAAGCCTCATTTACTCGGATCACAGATGGCAGCACCTACTGAGAGACATTTAGGGGAAGCAACTTTGTGCTTCAAAAGAAAGATGGAGGAAGGAAAGTTTAGTTGGAGAAAAGAGTCCTGCTGCTGGAGTGAGACAAGCCGATAAAAGTGCCGTCTCTTTGGGATTAGCCCACGCTGATGGAGCTGCCAGGCTGCCTCTCTGGGATTCCCGTGATGGAGGGTCCCGCCTCATCGCTCCTGAACACCCGCTAACCCAAAACACCCCGCGGGTTCACCGGAGACACGCCGCAGAGCAGCAGGTGAAGGAAGTGACTCCAAAACTTCTGCTGAATTCTGCCTCTCAGGTCAGTTTCTGCTGAAAACTTCATGTCATCCCTCAGAAATTAAGCCCATTTCATTTTGGCTATGTTTACTTTGAAATCCGTTATTACTAAAAACTACAAAAATCTTTTAGTTTGGAAGGAAATTCAGTGTTTAATTAGGTTTGTTAAAAGTTTGCATTCAGAGTTTTATCTGATCAAGTTTCACACATGGTTGGTAAAACATTATATTTTATATTTATCACTTTGAAATTGTGTTAAACTACAGTTTTTATTCACAGCTGGGTCCATTTTGGCTACTGGCAGATGCTAACGTATGAGGCCAGAACAGTCTCAATAAGAATTAAGTCACACAACGTTTTCCACAAACGCACACGTTCATTCGGAAATCCACACTCTGTGTTTCACAAATATAATTCGGAGGAACACAAATGCTCACGCTCATTCGGAAATTCACAATCTTTGACTCATAAATATAATGTGAAAAGATAAGTCACGCAACATTTTCCACGAATGCACACGCTAATTCTGAAGTTCACACTCTGTGGTTCACAAATATAATTTGTAAGAACACTTGTAATATAAACTCACAGATCATACGAATTGCTGAATGTGCATTTACGAACAGCTTCTCATTTGTGAACCTTTCCGCGTTTGTGAGTGAAATCTGTGTGCTGAATTTTGAGACTCTCCTAACGTTGCAGGTCAACAAACGTCACCATTGGCTAATGAATCTGTCAATCAAATATATGATTCTGCCAGGGCTGTTCGCTTGCAGCCAATCATATGGCTCCTTATGTTACGGAACAGATCTGCTGTGCGCATAAGTCGGATACAATTTCCCTTCATGTGTAGCTCGGGGCTGACGATGGCTGAAGATACCGCGTTAGCGTTCACACTTGTTTAATTTTCAATTTTAATTCTGGTGCCTGTTAGCAGCTGAAACACATCCTCACGTGCTTGTGGATATCAAATATTCTATATGAAGACTTGACTGTAATAATAAGTAAAGGTTATCAGCTGTAGCTTCAGTGTGTTCATAGGAAATGTGACAAAAGAACACAAAACACATTTCTCTTTATGGCCTATATAGTTGTCATCATTAACGTTACATGATTTACAGAATACATGTGAACAACTAACATTTCATGTTCTACCACCGGATGTTTGGATCAAAATATGAACCAATCAGATCTTAGATCAGGTGAGAGCCAGGCGTTTCCCATGCCCTGGGTTTTGCAGCCGAGGGAGAGCAACTGCAGCGCCTTGCTCCAAAATCTGCAGCCGCCTTGATCTCACAAGGTTATAGTTGCCTACTGACGTCAGAGCAAGTCAGCATCAAGTTGGACACAAATCTAACCGGCATGCACTGCTCGCCGATCACCGCTGATCCAATCTGCGCAGGGGATGGAATTAATCCAAAAGGCGATTGCTCAAAGGGCTATGCTATACTCATAAAATCTGGGGTTACAATACATAACCAACGTTCCATCCTATGGGTGGCCTCTTAATAATCTTATTCAGAAAAATTATGCATTTTTACTAAGTGAAAGCAAACCCTGTTAGGGGCAGAGACCTCTTGAAGCTCATTGTACTGTCCTCGCTGAGACGTAGTGGTAGTTTCAACTAGACAGTGAGCTAAACTCTGACTCAATGACGAAAGATGTGTTCCTGTAGTCTCCAAATTTATTACACATACTTGCTGTCGCTTAGAATACAGAGTAAAACTGAAAAAGAAAAGGAAAACAATGGAGTCATCCCTCTCTTCATTGATATCTAATTCACAGTAAATATAAATTAGAATTCAAAGCCTATAACTGCTAAATAAAATCACCTGTGAATGAAACAGATTGCCCACAAACGGAGATGGCATATTTTAACAGGTAACAACAACTAAATGAATTATTATTAGCTTAATACGCAGTGCAACAACGCCAACTGCTGGTAGAAAGAAGTAGCCAGAAATGTCCACTTGTTTAGCTAGCTCCACAAACTTGTCTTTAGCACAAATGTATCAATAAACTGTGTAAAACAAATATGAATACATACAGGCGTTGCTTCTTCAAGAGTTAAGCAAAGGTTTGCCGGTTTTCTGATTTTTTAGAACGTCTTTCCCTCTTTGACCAATCTCTCTGCATCAGCGTGCGTTGCTAGTAAACGGTCACTCACGTACACAGCACTTCCTGTTCTACGGGTGTTTTACATGTCAAAATAAAAGCACGTAAATAAAACTTTTACACAATGAACTAAAATGCCTGGAAGGCAGAACACTCCCCGTCTGAACTTATTAGGTCATTTTAACAAAGAGTACCTTAGTCAGTAGGCAAAAGAAGAACTACTTCTCTAATCGGCCTCTGAAAAGTCTTTAAAGAGCCTTGACTTGATGCATTTAGCTGGACTTCTCTGACTTTGCCATCTCGTCCTCGAAAGACCGCAGTGATCTTAGCCATAGGCCACTTGTTGCGTGCAACTTGACAGTCCTTTAGGAGCACAATGTCTCCAACTTTCAGATCCCTCTTCATATCTGTCCACTTCCTTCGGGTCTGCAAAGTGGGAAGATATTCCTGCCGCCAGCGGCGCCAGAACTCGTCAGCGAGGGCTTGCACTTGTTTCCACTGTTTACTGTAGAGATCCTTGTTTGCAAACTCTCCTTGGGGAGGGGAAACCCCCACCTTCTGAGTAAGAATCATTGCAGGTGATAATATGGAGGGTGACTCTGGGTCATTGGAGACTGGGACGAGAGGCCTTGCATTGATAACTGCAGCCACTTCCATCATGAGAGTGCATAAAACGTCATGGGTAAGCCGAATGTTGTCTTTGAGCAGGATTGCGTCCAAGATCCGCCTTGATAATCCAATAAGCCGCTCCCATGACCCTCCCATATGGGATGCACGAGGGGGGTTGAACACCCATGAACAGTTCTGTTCACTTAAGAACCTTTGCACGGTTGCCTCTGGATCTTTGTGACCCAACCCTAGTTCCTTTGCAGCTGCCACGAAGTTCGTCCCACAGTCTGACCTTATCTGCTTCACAGGTCCACGTATTGCAAGGAACCGCCTCAGTGCATTGATGCAGCTGGATGTATCCAATGATGCAATGACCTCGATGTGGACAGCCCGCGAACTCATGCAGCAGAACAGCATCGCCCACCGCTTGCTTTGTGACTGGCCTCCTCTTGTGCGTCTGGAGACGACTGGCCAGGGCCCAAACACATCTACTCCAACATACGTGAATGGTGGAGATACGGATAAACGCTCTGGGGGCAGGTCGGCCATGAATTGCCCTTCTACCTTGCGACGCAACTGGCGACATACTACACACTTGTGCAGGACTGAGGTGATGAGCCGCTTTCCGCCTATGACCCAATAACCGGCTGCTCTGAGGGCCCCTTCAGTAAAGTGGCGGCCTTGATGTTTCACTTGTTCATGATATTGTCTCACTAGGAGCAGAGAGATGTGACTGTTCTTAGGCAAGATTATGGGGTTGGTCTCTGCTGCGCTCAAGTCTGCATGTTTTATTCTGCCACCAATACAGATCAGACCTTCTTTGAGGATAGGGTTCAGCTTATAGAGCGTACTCTTTTTGGACACAGTGTGTGTGAGTGAGAGATCTGAGATTTCACTGGAAAGAAACTCTTCCTGTGTCGCTTGGGTGATGATGAATCTAGCTTGGGATAACTCATCAGGAGTGTGTGGGAGTTTGCAGTAGTGCCACCCTTTACATGCACTTGACTCCCTCTGTTTGTAGGTTTTAACTATGTGAATGAGCATAGCGAATGCTCTGGTGAGAGAGCGCATGGTTGAAAAGCGTGTGAATCTTGCGGCACCAAGTCCCTTTCCTTGACTCTGTGTGAGGTAACTGGTCACTTCAGAACGCACCTCTGTGTCTGATTCAGGGTTTACGAGTTCATACGTTATTGCTAAGTCTTCCCCACTACTGTCTTGTTTGTACAAAAATGCCGGTCCTGTGAACCATATGGTGTGTGTTAGTGAGGATGCAGGAACTGACCTGGATGCGTAGTCTGCAGGATTCTCCTCCGAACAGACGTAGAACCACTGACCTGGTGTTGTCGACTGATGAATGCGTCGAATTCGATTGTGAACGTAGACATGGAAACGTTTCGTTTGGTTGCAGATATACCCTAGTACGACCTTGCTGTCGCAGTAAAACCTAACCGAGTCCAACTTCAGGTCCAGTTCATCTTGGATGATATCTGCAACTTCCACGGCAAGTACCGCAGCACATAGTTCCAGCCGAGGAATTGTAGGTTGGGAGAGTGGAGCTAGTTTAGCTTTCCCCATAATGAATCCTACTTCCACTTTTCCTTCGCTTTGGACCGTTCTGAGGTAGGCTACAACTCCAATGGCTTTGGTGGATGCATCCGAAAACACGCATAGCTCAGTGCGTTTGGCCTTGGAGAGTGAGTTTGCAGTATATGTTCGAGGAATGTGTAGTTTGTTCAAATCATGTAAAGACTCTCTCCACGCTTCCCATTCTTTGAGCTTGTCTTCGGGAAGAGGTGTATCCCAATCACATTTGTCTGCACTGCAATCTCTCAATAGACTTTTTCCTTCAATGGTTACTGGTGCGAGAAGGCCTAAGGGGTCGAAAATGCTGTTCACTGTAGAAAGAGCACCCCTGCGAGTGAACTGCTTTCTGTCTTCTGACACCTTGAATGTGAATGTGTCCGTTGTGGTCGCCCATAATAGGCCCAGACTGCGCTGCACTGGTATAGCCTCACCACTGAGGTCCAGATCTTTCAAAACAGCGCGATCTTCAATTGGGAAGGCTTGGAGGACAGTGTCACTATTCGACGCGAACTTGTGCAGTCTTAAGTTTGATTCGCTGAGGGAGGCTTGGGTTCTCTGCAGTAGGCTAATGGCTTCAGCATCTGAGGGCACACTAATGAGACCATCGTCTACGTAAAAGTGGCGTACGACAAACTTGACTGTGTCTGCTCCGTGTTTGTTTGTTCCCTCCTGAATAGCTCTCCTGAGCCCATAGATGGCCACGGACGGAGACGGGCTGTTCCCGAACACATGCACCCGCATTCTATAATCAATTATGTCTTTGGACATATCGTTATCTCTGTACCACAAAAATCTCAGATAGTTCCTGTGGTCTCTGTGAACGAGGAAACTGTGGAACATCTGCTGTATGTCGGCAACCACCGCAACCTGCTCCTTCCTAAAGCGGATCAAGACACCTATCAGGGAGTTGTTTAGGTCGGGACCCTTTAGAAGGGAGTCGTTTAGAGACACGCCATGGTATTTTGCACTAGAATCAAAAACCACACGTATGTTTTCTGGTTTCTGTGGATGAAAAACTCCGAAGGTCGGCAAAAACCAGCACTCCTCCTCTTCATTTAAGGGTGGAGCCTCCTCTGCATGTTTGTTCTGGAAAATTTTGTCCATGAATTCAAGAAACTGGCTCCTCATGCCTGGTTTTCTTTCTAATGTTTTTTGTAAAGAGTTGAAGCGAGACATTACGTACTCACGGTTGTTGGACAGCCGTTGTCGTTGAGCTCTGAAAGGTAAGGGTGCAACCCAATGACCTGACTTGTCCTTGAACATTTCCCTGTCCATTTTTTCCAGGAAGATTGTGTCTTCAATGGACGGGCCAAGTTTGTTGTCAGAACCTGTTTCGCTGAAGACGCTCCTTCCCAGGTTCTCCAATGACGTTTTACCAGCGTAGCTCATTTGCCCCCTTCCTTGGCAGGCGTTCTCAGTTAGCCTTATGGTGTTTTTGCAGGGTGCGCAGATAGAGGGACGGCCATTTTCTAATACACTTGTTTTGTACGCATTCACAGTTGGTTTATGTGCATTTCCCAAACACACATCCCCAATCAGGACCCATCCAAGGTCTAGTCTCTGTGCAAAGGGAGCATTGTGAGGTCCATTTACTTGCTGACGAACTTTGTGGACTCTCAAGATGTCTCTTCCCAGCAAAATAAGGATTTGTGCGTTGGGGTCGAGCTCTGGAATGTACTGAGCTATTTTTCTCAGATGAGGGTGACTGCGAGCTGCATCGGGTGTGGGGATTTCAGTCCTGTCATTTAGTATTTCATCACACTCAATTAATGGCGGAAGGGAGAGGATGATTTTTCCATCGAGAGACTCGATCTGGAAACCTTCGGCTTTGCGACCAGCTGTTTCGATCGGCCCGGCACATGTTTTTAGTCTGTAGGGGAAGAGCTGGCTGTTTACGTCGAAAAGGTTAAAGAAGTCTGAGCGGGCCAGCGAACGATTACTTTGGTCATCTAAAATGGCATACGCGTTAGCTGCTCTCTCGCGCTGTCCATGGTAATATACTCGAACCAGACAGATCTTGGCGCATGATCTTCCTATTCGTCCTGTGCCGCACACTTGGGTGCATTGTGAGTTAACTGCTGTAATGCTGCCAGCACTTTCTTCCTCCCCGCCGTCACTTGTTGGGGGTGAGGCCCTTGTAGGTACTTGAGGTGTTGGGTCTAAATGCATAGCGGTGTCGTGGCGATTGCTGTCACACTGTGTGCACCTCACCAGAGCTTTGCAATCCTTTGCTAAGTGGCTAGTTGAGTTGCAGCACTTGAAACAGATTCCGCTCTGTTTTAGTATAGCTTTCCTTTCCTCTATATTTTTTGCTTTAAATGCTCTGCATTTATTTACTGGGTGTGGTTTGTTGTGAATAGGGCAGTTCTTCTCTAGTCCATCTGCTTTCTGTGCAGGTGGGTTCGTTGGTAATCCTTTCTCTGTAGAGATATTGGTTTTGTGAACAGATATTTTACTGCCATAGTTCTTTGGGGGAGCCTGATTTGGCCTTTCGACTGTGTTTGGCAGATGAAAACTTGGATCATTTCTCCTACGGGCTTCTTGACAGATGAAGCTTGTGAAGTGTTCAAATGGCGGAAATAGTCCATTGTTTTCTTCTTTGAACTTTGAGCCGACTGTTGTCCATTTATCTTGTATTCCATAAGGAAGCTTTCCCACTATAGGTCCTATGCCTCTGGCAGTGTCCAGGTATGTTAGTCCTGTCAGGTAGCCTTCTTCCTTAGCTCCTTGTATTTCCATGAGAAGATCGCCCAAGTCTCTTAATTTTCCATAATCTTTGATAGATATCTTAGGGAACTCATCAAGTCTTTTAAATAGTGACTTCTCCATCACTTCTGGTGCAGCGTAGTATTCCTGGAGACGTGTCCAGGCCTTCTGAAGAGCTGTGTCTGGGTTTTCAACGTATACAGAGCGAATTCTTTTGACATGTTTGCCAGACTCCGGCCCAAGCCACTTAACCAGTAAATCTAACATTTCATTTGCTGTGAGTCCTATATCTGAAGTCGCACTGTAAAATGAAGACTGCCATGCGCGATAACTTTCAGGTTTGTCATCAAACTGGTAGAGGCTGGTACTCACTAAGTCACGACGAGCCAAGTATCGAGCCAAGTGCTCTGTTTCTGGTGTTACACTGGTGGGAGTTACCAATGCTTGTGGGGTGAATGTTTTTGTTATTGGGTTTGGTGAGGGGCTGTGGTAGTATTGAGTTGGCTTTACCTTTGGTTGGAGTCTGTTTTGTCCATAGTAAATGGTTGTTTGAGCGTTGTTTACGTATTCGTCTTGAATGTCTACTAATGTTTTGCTTTGCAGTTCGTCATGCTTGTTACTGTCTTCATCATGTACCTTTAAGTTCTTTTGTGATGGAACATCCCACGTGACAAGGCTCTCCTCTGGTAATTCTGTACCAGGTGTTGGAGGATGTGCGGCGGCCTGACCTTGCTGTGATTTGAGCTCTGCTTGTTCTTGGACGTATTCCTGAGTCCGTGTAACAACGCCCCTTTGTAAGATTTCACGTGCATGCGAATCTGACTTTACTGACTCCAATTCTTCAGCTGCCTCCAACGCTTCCGCTTGTGCAACGGCTGCAGCTGCTTCTCTCTGATACTCCAATATCCCAAGTTGTGCATCCAGTCTTGATTTCTCTAATTGTAGCTCTGCTTCTCTTGTAGCCTTTTCGATTTTTAGCTTTGCTTCCTTTTCTGCGAATGCAGCCCTCGCCTTTGCCGCCTCTGCATTGGCTCGCGCTTGTACTGTGGTGGTGGACGAAGAGGAGAGAGAGCGTTTCGTGATCTTTGAACGTACTGATGCTTGTTCCATCGTTTCTCCCTTGTGCCTGGCACCTTTGGTGTTGAACTCTAGGTTACTCAGCGCCTCTTTACTGTACTGTCCTCGCTGAGACGTAGTGGTAGTTTCAACTAGACAGTGAGCTAAACTCTGACTCAATGACGAAAGATGTGTTCCTGTAGTCTCCAAATTTATTACACATACTTGCTGTCGCTTAGAATACAGAGTAAAACTGAAAAAGAAAAGAAAAACAATGGAGTCATCCCTCTCTTCATTGATATCTAATTCACAGTAAATATAAATTAGAATTCAAAGCCTATAACTGCTAAATAAAATCACCTGTGAATGAAACAGATTGCCCACAAACGGAGATGGCATATTTTAACAGGTAACAACAACTAAATGAATTATTATTAGCTTAATACGCAGTGCAACAACGCCAACTGCTGGTAGAAAGAAGTAGCCAGAAATGTCCACTTGTTTAGCTAGCTCCACAAACTTGTCTTTAGCACAAATGTATCAATAAACTGTGTAAAACAAATATGAATACATACAGGCGTTGCTTCTTCAAGAGTTAAGCAAAGGTTTGCCGGTTTTCTGATTTTTTAGAACGTCTTTCCCTCTTTGACCAATCTCTCTGCATCAGCGTGCGTTGCTAGTAAACGGTCACTCACGTACACAGCACTTCCTGTTCTACGGGTGTTTTACATGTCAAAATAAAAGCATACACAGCACTTCCTGTTCTACGGGTGTTTTCCATGTCAAAATAAAAGCACGTAAATAAAACTTTTACACAATGAACTAAAATGCCTGGAAGGCAGAACACTCATATTAAACATTGTCTGCAGAGAAGGTAAGAGAAGCTAGTAAATCATCAGGCCTATTCCATGTGAGTGACTCTGAAAAGGAGCAAAAGCTCTAGCTCTTTATCTTGGCAGGTGTCTCTATTCTCCTGTGTTCAGGCTTTTGGAAACATCAGTTACTTTTCCTTTTAATAAGCTGCATATATTTCTAACACAGCCTTCAAGAAAAAAAAACTTTTTAATTGTAAAAGACATTATTCTCATTCTGAGAACAAATGAACAAACTGTGTGTGGGTATGTGTGTCCAGTTGCAATTTAACACAGACTCAGTAGCATAGAGAATCTTCTCACAACACCTAATCATCCCTTGATCAAAAAACCAGTAGATAGAATCTTGTCATGTTATTCCATTTAATAAGTAGACGGACGGAGGTATAGTACAAGTTTTCAAGTGTAATGAAGATGATCGCAGGGTAACAGTTCCCCTTAAATGTTGAGCAAAAGTTATGAAACGAGACAAAATTCAAACAATAACATGTAAAAATAAATGGATCTCCTGATAAGAAGTAGGTGCTTCACCTTTAAATGTTTTTATTAGAGCTGGATACACAGGAAGATGCATGTTACTAAACCAACACTAGCAATGATAGAACATCTACATTTTGAAGAATTGTAGCATAGATAAAGTGGACAGCAGCCTTTTCAAATACATTCCTGGTCTAAAATAAATCAGGCTGATAAAGCCTTTAAGGGAATACACAACTATAAATGAATTTAGAAATCTATTTTGGGGTCTATCCTTTAGCATTTCATATTTACAAAGGTTAATCCCTTGAATAACAATATACAGTATATTAACCTTAAAATGGACCACTCCTTCACTTTTTAACTTCCTTCCTTCCTGTCTCATTATTTTCTTCCTTCCTAACTCCCTACCTTCTCTCTCCTTCCTTCTTCACACATGTAATCATCTAGCCTCAAGTAAGTTCTCAACATACTGGACAGTGTGAAGATATATGTCCACTCCAAAAGAGTCTGAATGTTGCAACGGATTAATGTTGTCCTGCAGTTCCAACATTTCAAGATCTGAAAGAGTACAGGACAGGGACACTGATCCCAGGATGAGGTTCAGTCATGTATCCATTCTCCTCCCATTCAATCTCTGGTGTCGGTATACCCTGGAAAAAGAAAGTGTGTATGAGCATTGTGCATAATGAATCTCAAGAAAACACATTTAATAAAGCCCTATCATGACCTTTTAACAATTACTTAACATCAATGATGTCAGGCAGAACCTAGCATCTCCATTATTTCATAAATTATTATTTTTTTAATTAATGGGCTACTTTTATGTTAAAACAGCAGTGAGAATATCACATCTGGAGGGTGTAATGCCTTGCATTTTGAACTTGCAGATGTGTCATGACTTTGTAATGTCATGACATTATAGTTGACAGTGTCCACTTCAGTAGAGGTGCACACAAACAGAACTGTAATTTCAATAGCCATTTTGTCTTGAATCCAAGAAGCATAGTGCAGAGGTAGATTATCAAAGTGTTGAACATTTGATTTTTAGTTAAGGATCAACTTGACATGTGATCAGTCATTTTAACAGAACATACATTTGCCCCTGGATCAGAAACAGGATTCAGAGCCTGGCCCAGATGCCACAGCTGATTTGGTGTCATGTTTTCCTCTGTCCTGATTGGATGGTTGTCCCACGCATCTCTAAAGACATCCAGGCTGGCCTGGATGCGAGACAAGAAAATATAGTGGTAACAAAACAGGTGAAGGATGTTACTGATGTCGAGCAAGTCTTGGTCTTCCAGAGAGTGCAGGATGTTGTAATATAAACCAGTAACACTCATGAAGACATCACGCCAGAGGCGCTCGATCCTGGATTTGGAGGGGGATTAAATAAAAGAAAATTATAATATACACACACATTTACATGTCCATACATCCGTTTTCAACTTGAGTTATCTCTTGAATGGTCGCAGGGGGACTGGTGCAGGTCAACAGGCACACACACACACACACACACACACACACACACACACACACACACACACACACACACACACACACACACACACACACACACACACACACACACACACACACACACACACACACACACACACACACACACACACACACACACACACACACACACACACACACACACACACACACACAAAGCTTCCAAATTAGGTTAAACTCACCGTTGATTGTGTACACTTTTTCCTGCAATGAAGCTGTTGGTGTCAGTTCCCTGAACTGAGAACATTAATTCTGCAACACCTACATTTTCTCCGCCATGATCTCCTCTCACCCTGAAACACACACAAAAAAAAACCATTAGAATCTCGCTTCAAACATTTTTAATGCACATCTATAACAATCTACATCAACTTCAGTATCAGAAATGTCCTTATGTACCTTGCTACTAAGTGAGTAAACAATGTGGCATTATCAACCCTCTGCTGGGGAAATTTTTTTGAAAGAGGGAAATGTTCACCCCCCCCCCCCAAATTTCACTATATGACCTCAAATGGCATGTCAGAGGAAAGCCATGCTCATTCACAGCTTCACTGAAGAAGGCAAGGTGGGTGTCTGCCCAGTTGTTGTCAGCTACCTTCAGGTACATGATCTATGTAATTCAAGCACAAACACTCTCATATGACACATTTTTATAGGGGCCAAAACAATCAATTACCAAATGAAAAGTACAACAGCCATACGATAACATGTTAGATAATTAAATAAGTTAAGATCTGATAAACTGTATTATTTGTGTCAAATCTCACAGGAGTGATAGATGCATATTTTACAGACCACTGCACTATACTGTTTTCATCCCTCTCCTGCCAGCTTGTTTTGAATTTCTGACCACCATGTATGTTACTCCCACATTCTCCTGTGACACTCAGAACTATTACCCACAATATAATTAAGATGCACTGATTTTGTGTATTCACTCATCGTGCAGGAGAAAACATGGCATGACAGACTATTCATGGAGATTCATGGGATTGTGTATCATATTCTTCCATTTAAAAATCAATATGGAGGAGTAAAGGCTAATGATTATTACAAGCCCTTACATTAACTGACTACAAATATGCCAAAAAAATAATGTGTATATTTTGGGATTTCTGAAAATCCCTTTGGTTTTTAGCCAACTGTTCCGGCCTGCAGCAAAGTTCTAACTGCCCGCTCCTGCTGGGACCCAATCCTATGCAGCCCTCTACTTCAAAATATAAGTTGTTAAAGGTATAAAACATATCTATAAAACAGAAGATAGCCAGAAAACACATTTGCAGCTGTTTGGTCCTTGACAATGAAAACACCTACCTTCCTTGAATAGCCGTCTATTCCCCCAAAGATAATAAAATTGTACCTGTTAAAACACAATTAAAAATGTAACTCCCAAAACAAAAAATAACATCTCCAATTACACACAGACATTACCTGATGAGCTTGTGATTGGTGTCAATGTGCACCATATACTTTGGGCAAGGAACTGTGTACGTCCTTCTCACTACACATCCCAGATGTGTCATTCGAGCAAGTACACCCGCACTGTCCACACGATGCATGGATGCATACAGTCGGTCCCACTGTACTCTATGTCCCTGGGCAAGTAGAGCACCTCGGACTACCCTGTACCCAGCATCTGGCATGTTGCTCTTAATTACTGTGATAAATGAATCTAGTTCCTCATCACTGCATTTACTGTATGTGGCAGATACAGATATATTGTTTTCAGACATCCGTCTAAATAGAGTTACTCTGGATACACCAAGGAGTTTGGTAATGACACTTGTTGGCAGACCCATTTCCACAAGGTGTTTGAGAGCCTCTCGCGACACCGCCAATCGTGGGCGGCCACGAGAACCTCTTTCAACGTGTACCGTTATTAATGTCTTTTGATTATCTCTTTCCTGCTGGATAATAGTATTCAGATCTGAAAGAGCAGAAAGTGACAAGCAAACTGTAGCCCTTCCCCATCAACAGGTTGCCTCTCCAAGATGCTAGACAGTCGATCGTAAAACCTCTGAAGGATGTCACGCCTCAATGATTTCTAGAGGAAAAAAACAAAACAAAAACAGAACAAACATGAATTGGATAACTGTTGGGTAATAGAAATAAAATAACAACTTCCAAATATCTTACGGCACTTTTATTTTTTTAACACTCCAGCTATGATAGTTTTAATAAAAAAAAAACATTTTTAAATAAGACCAACTGTAGATTCAAAGGTACATGAAATGATGAAGCAGTATTTCTGTTTATTATGTGCCAGAGCTCATTGGCCAAAATTTAAAGATGCATTTAAAAAAAAATATTTCTTTAACTATTGCCCACCGCCAGCAAACATTTATGCACCGGCTCAGTCAGTGTCTGTCTCCTTATTACTGCACAGCCTAAAGCAGGGGTGTCAAACTCAAATTCACAATGGGACAAAAGTAAAAACTGGGACAAAGTTGCGGGCCAAACTCAATATTTGTTTAAAAGTTTATTTACAGATGTCTTGTTATTCAATTGGAAAGAAACTTATTTTTGCATCTGAACACAGAATCTGATATGACCAAATTACACACGAGCAAGTGCATTTTAAATAAAACACATCACTCGTTACTTATGTCTCAATTTTTATTTACTCTTTTTACTCCTTACAATGTGTACATATTCAGTATTTAGATTGTTTTACCTTTTGGATATTTTAAGTTAGTCTGTTTTATGTTTTCTTTTAGTTTACTCTTTATTATGTTTTACTCTCCTGTTTGGCTCCTGTAATGAACGTTATTGCTGATGTGACATCACAGTTTCCCCACTGAGGGACAATAAAGGGATTTTCTATTCTATTCTTCAATCTGTAGTCTGTCCAGTTCCCATTTTAGAGTAAGTTTAATATTTTTTTACAGGCCAACAACAAAAACCAAAAATGGCAATTATCTTCTATGAAAATATCTCAGTTATTAACTTTCATGCTTTGGAGCAGAAAAAGTGCATGACAATTATATGTTTCAAGCTCAGTTCGCTCCACTCTGATGGTCACCTGTTCCAGCCAGATACCTTCTTTCTAGGCGTTCAGAGTCGGAAACTCGCTGAGTAAACTGGGCGCTTAGAGGAGTATCTTCAGTTGTTTAAGACTGAAGGTAACGCTGCACACGCTGATTCTACTAGCATGGATGCTAACGATCGTAAACATAAAAGAGGGCTTGCTTCGTCTTGTGCGCTATCGCCGCAAAGCACTATGGGATTAATAGTCTTATCAGCAAAATCGCCTGGCGGGCCAGTTTTAATATTATATGTTTGATACTTGATTTCGCGGGACAAATAAAAATAGACCAAGGGCTTGAGTTTGACAACCGTGGCCTAAAAAATGGTACCTAGACACGCTAACTAAACAAATGTTCGCTTGAGTTTAGCTTGATGTTAAACTAGATAAAGAATGGACCAGACTTCACGTAACGTCTGGACTGAATTTAACATAAAACATTTTACTTGACCATGAAGAACACTTCTACTCATAATTCTATAACATTGCATCAATTACAACGAGGGAATAAGATAAAACTTTTACTCACAGATTGTGACCGGTCCATCCCGCTCTGCCGTGTGAACTGCAATGCGCATGCGCACAGCAGATCTGTTCCTTAACATAAGGAGCCATATGATTGGCTGAAAGCGAACAGCCCTGGCAGAATCATATATTTGATTGACAGATTCATTAGCCAATGGGGACGTTTGTTGACCTGCGACGTTAGTAGAGTCTCAAAATTCAGCACACCGATTTCTCTCACGAATGCAGGAAGGTTCACAAATGAGAAGCTGTTCGTGAATGCACCACACAGATTTCACTCACAAACGCGGAAAGGTTCACAAATGAGAAGCTGTTCGTAAATGCACATTCAGGAATTCGTATCATCTGTGAGTTTATATTACAAGTGTTCTTACAAATTATATTTGTGAACCACAGAGTGTGAACTTCAGAATTAGCGTGTGCATTTGTGGAAAATGTTGCGTGACTTATTTTTTCACATTATATTTATGAGTCAAAGATTGTGAATTTCCGAATGAGCGTGAGCATTTGTGTTCCTCCGAATTATATTTGTGAAACACAGAGTGTGGATTTCCGAATGAACGTGTGCATTTGTGGAAAACGTTGTGTGACTTAATTCTTATTGAGACTGTTCTGGCCTCATAAGCAGCGGTACTCAATAGGCAGCTCTTCTTTGTGCCCCCCGATCCGCCAAACCTCGACCTTCAAGGTAGTGTTTTAAAACAGCCCTGGGAAAATTTCCTTTGAGTACCCTTTCTCATCCACGCTTTAAAACTTCAGCAGAAAGCTCCAGCGCACGGCTAACAGCTGCTTCATAGCTTAAGTTTGAGCGAGGAAATGTTATTCAGCAATAATTCTTCTCTCAAAGCAAATCTGTAATAAACCCGTGTCTCTGCCATGATGGGTTTGTTGGGTTAGCCGAGAGTGAAGCTAAAGCTAGCTCACTTCCTGTCTGTTTAGAAGAAACTCGATTACTCAGATTAGCACCTAGCTTCTGGTGTTGCCGGTCAATCACACACCAACAAAACTTACAGATGAAAGAGGTTTTGATTACTTAAATGTGTGTTAGGGTGGGGCTCCCCCACCATGCCCTTAGCATCATGGTTAGCACGCAGCTTAGGGTGGCCATTTCCACAACACCAACAAGGAGGACAATTTTAAGATTGAACAAAGACAAACACAATAGCAACACCGTTATATCGTATGACTATTGTACTCACCAAAGACGTGAAGTCTACTTTTTATATTTTTGACCTTTCCTGGCTTCTTCCAACAGTTTTTTGTTTGAGAGAAATTTCTTGTACATGTCCATGCAGTCCAAGTGAAGTTGACACACATTTGCAGCCATGCTTTCACTCTCTCCACATCAAGATGATTTCTTTCATTTCTCCATGCTGAGGACATCATGGAAAAGATCCATTCTGTGTGTGCATTGCTGCACGGAACGGAGAAGATGTAGGCGCCGACTTTCCTCAGGTTCAAAAGTGGGACATCTGCTTTGGAAAACAGCTTCAGATAGCGCTCCTCGCTCTGAAAACCTTCTATTTCTGGGGAGCTGAGAATAGCTTCAACCATATTCCTCATACAGTCATCCATATCAATGTTCATAAGTTTGCAGGCTTGGACTGCATCAATGTACTCTCCTTAAGAGACATCAGCTGTGAGGCTAAGCTTGGACATTTTGCGGTGAAAGCTGTTCTCAGAGAAGTCATACCTTTCAGTCACATACCTCTTTGCTCTTTCATAGAAGTGAATGAAATCAGTCTCACATTTCTTTGCAATATCAGGAGTTAACTGTTTGAGTTTGCTGTTCACAGCAAAGCCAAAAAATGGTCATTTAATCTCTGCTCAAGCTTGACTTTAAGCTCACTCATCGCTTTAAACACAGAAGTAATGCTGAATGATTTGGCCTCAAGTGCTTCAATGGAGTCCGAAAAAACCTTCAGAATGTGACTGAGGAAGAGGAAGTACATCTCAGGCCTAGTCCACACGTAGCCGGGTTTTTTTTTTAAACGAATATCCGCCCCTCCAAAAACTTGCATCCACACCACCTCGTTTTAATAAAAAATTCTGTCCACACGTACCCAGATAAATACGTTGTTAAGGACATGCCAGACCTGTAGGCGGCAGTACTTCCCCCGTTCTTAACCTCGTCCTTCGTCTGTGGTCTTCCGCAAGGAGCAGTAATTCCGCTTGCAAAAACACAAGCAAAAAGCGCTTGGACAATTGATAAAGTGAGCGCAGCTCTGAGGGCATCCATGCTGTCGCCTAGTGTAAACACAGGTCGCACACGTGATGTCAGCATTTTTTTGTCGTGGAGAGTGACGTTGCGGACCTTAAAACTCCGGTTTTGTCTGTCCACACGCAGACACCCAAAACGGAGAAAACGCAGATCTTCACTTTGGCCGGAGTTTTTAAAAAGATCCGTTTTCGTGTGAAAAAACTCAGTTTTCGTGTGGATGACAGGCCAAAACGTAGAAAAATATCTACGTTTTGGCAGATCCCCGGCTACGTGTGGACCGGGCCTCAGACACTTCAGTTCTGTCCTCTGCAAAGTCTGACTGAGATCAACCACTTAAATATGGCTGCTATTACTTTCGCTGTTAACCAATAGAATTGATTTCACACTGGCTTCATCTATTAATGTCAGAAAAACATCTTTTAGCATTTATAATTGCATTATAGATTTAAATTGGCTATATTTTATCACAAATGCCTGTTTTATTCATTTTATAAATTTTTTCATATAAGATGGAAAAAATAGTTAAGTCAAAAAGAGGACAAATGGGTGTCCGTCTCAAGGGTGCGCTGGAAGGAGGACACTCTTTTTTTAAAACCGGACTGTCCGCATTAAAGCTGGACGTATGGCCACCCTAAAGCAGCTGCAAGCGATGTGGGCGGAGATCCAGCCGCGTCCTGACAGGCCGAGGGAATTTTGATGGAGTTTTCATTCGAATGTGGTCTGAAGAATCCATGACCCATGAACTAGACTAGACTTGGTATTTATGGTGAGTAACCTGTAATACTTATGTGGTACGTGTACTTTAGTGTTAATGACCAGTGTTCCAGTCATCAGGTTGTGTTTCTGACTAGTCAACATCAACAACACGTTGTGGTTCAGCTCAGACTCATGCTCCAGGTGGACTCACACTTTTCCACTCATTCTGAAGCGTTCTGCTGCTGATACTTTGAGCCTGTTCATGCAAATATTTCTCAGCCTTTTTGCTTCCCAAATTGAACTCGGTTGGAGTGGAGCAGATCAGAAGCCAGAGGCCGAGCGGGCGCTCTGCCAGTCATGGAGTTCACAGCCGTACCTCTCAGGAATGTAGTGGAGTTCATACTGTGATCTGTGTGTCAAAGCTCTGGTGGAAAATTGGCTTCACACAGTGTTTCTGTCATGTTCTCTGGGAGACTCTGGAGCGAACACACCCGGACACAGGAGAAAGTTTAACAGTTTTAATAAAAGTTCAGCAGGCTCTCGGTGTGGTTGAAGAACTCTGGAGGGGTTCGCAGAGGCGGCTTGGTCTGCGTGGCGAGGAGCGTTTGGAGGGGATGTGAGGTCCAGTGTGGGAGTGTGGCAGGCTGTGGTTGAGATCTCCTAGGAGCGCTGGAGGCTCGAAGGAGGACAGGCAGGTGGAGAAGAGAAGGATCCAACAGGGCATAGATGACAGAGCTGGAGCACTGCAGCCAGGGTGAAGCAGACACCGCGGTTCAGGGAAGACGCTGGGAGATCCTCAGGTCTGGGAACTCAGAAGGTTGGGATGGCTGTGAGACAAAACATCACTGGTGAGAAGAACACTGGGAAGCACAAGAAAGCACAGAGCTGACCTGATTAACAAGCTGACCTGATTAACAAGCTGTGGCTCAATCATGCCTAATTCTTTAAATGTCCATCAAAAGCTTAGGAGAGAGCAGACGTCTGTGATTGGTCAACAAGAAGCGTACTTAAAGGGTGAGGAACACTGAAGACCCATGTTTATTGATTATTTCTGATTCTAACAGGTCACTCTTAGTGTTTGATGCAGGCTGAACATGAAAATAGTCTACACCTATCTCCTGCATTAGCTTCTGATAGAAAATAGTCTCCTACACCTTTCTCCTGCAGTAGCTACTGATAGAAAAACAGACGGTGAAACTCTAGGATTAGAAAAGCCTGACAGATTTACGTCACACTGTCACTAACATTCATGGACTCGCCCATCGTGACTCACGACGGGGAAGGCTGTTGTTGGTTTAGCGTCCAGGAAACAGCAGAGAACGTCTCAGCTAGTGGAAGCTAACTGTTAGCATTAGCAACTCCACCACACTGCAGAACTCCTCCAGGCTTGTGTTATTGGTGGAGACAAAGCATCAACGTTGCAGAGCAGAGTCAGTGGGAGAGTCCTGTTGCTGTTAGCCAATCAGAGGAGAGATGTCCACATATCAGGAAGTGAGACTCCAGATTCTATCATCTGAAGCTCAGCTCTGATCTAAGTAGATAAACATAACCCAAATGCATACGATAGAGGTGTACTAGTAGTGTAACGATACATGCATTTGGATATTTTGGTGGAGCCACACAACCCCAGCACCACGTTGCTGTTAGCATCTTCTTTGGGCTTAATATGAACCTGTGTATCACTGGGAAACCTGCCTTGGTCCAACATGCCTGTTTATCAGACTCAGGAACATCAAAGACTCTGAACACTTGACTCACGAGTCTTTCCAGTTATCTTCTGTCCTCCATGCTCGCTGATGCTTGTTTTGGTGGCTCGGGTGTACACTCCAGACTTGCGTTTTAGTCCCGCCTCTGACTAACAGTAACACGCAGCTTTCTCTGCACTCGAAACAGGAGACTGGCTTTTGTGGGACTCGTGAAAAGTAATGAAAGTGTGGGGCATCTGGTCGCCTTCCCGGCTGGACAGACGGTATTCCAGGGCTGATTTACCATCCCAGTCCATGAACAGCGGTTACTGGACCTCACACACCTGCTACAACCTAACTCGTGAAGCTTTTTGTTTAGTGGGTTCGACGGATGTTTCTGTTGTTCCGACAGCATCGGATTTACCAAAGTAAGACACAACTTCCTTTAAGTATCCTTCACAATAAAAGCCCCAGTCACCTCCAGTTTAACAGAAACAGCCCTTAACCTTTCAGATTCATTATTTTAACCTTAAAAGTGATTCAATATGTGACTGAGTAGTATGTGTAGTACACATGAGTATTAATGGTAGAATTAGAGATTGATAATGACCTGGCTGTTGTTTACTCTCCATCGGTATTATTAGCCTCCAACAGAATAAAGTCTTCTCTAATGAGTGCTTCCTGTGTAGCAGCAGGAGTTTGTGTCAGAAACGATGTTTTACACCCAGCTATAAGCACCCTCAGCTCTCCAGCATCTCTACAGATTATGCAGATTAAATCCTGTGATTCAGGCCCACGCAGGAACTTGACCACAGTTTATCTCACTTCTACACATATTTGTGTCTCAACCAACTACATCTGTCTAAATTTGCTTCGTTTGTGTGATTAAACCTGTCTCTTCTGATCAAACGTTATATATATTTGCTGTTTGGTGGCATGTAGATGTCATGAATCACCACTGGTCCATCACGATGTTCACAGTAGTTTCATTATAGCGACAAGAATAAATGTAATGACCTGGAGAATTGGTATTAGTATATTAAAGTCATCTGGCTTCAGCGACAAACAAAAACTGCTGTTTGTCCTAAAAGTCAGTAGAAGCCATCAAAGTCTCATTTGTATAAATGTGGAGGTATTAAACCCTTTATTTATTTATCTGACCAATTCTTATTACATATGTGATGTCATTATCATGGTTGTCCAGTAGGACACAGAAGGGTGGATGTGTCTTGCTCTAAATGCCGCTGTGAGGGAACCTGCTGCGTAGAGGCGGAGCTTTGGGATGTGTGAAAAGGCCCAAATGGCGTTCTCTGCTCAGCAATATAAAATTATACCGGCTTTCACATCAGAGTCTGATGCGTCACTAGAGACGTCTGAAGCTGCAGCTCTGTCTCTGGGAACGGGAGGGGACTCAGGACACGTCCCTGTGGAGCACCAGTGTTGATTTAAGACTGAGACACTTTGGATCTGTCCATTCATGTTCTCACACGTGTCTTTATCATTATTAAAGCATTGACTTGTTATTATTTGCTGCTCCAGTGAAAACTTCTGTCATGGTTCTGGTTCAGGGTTACATGGACGGGCTCTGAATGAAACAACCAACTGGTTTTATTGTCTCAGGAAGGATCCAGAAGCTGAAAGGATACCGCCTTCCAAACATCCGCAGAGAGAAAACAGTAAGACACGACATGACAAACACCACTTGTAAATAAGTGGAGGAGATTACACTGTTTACTAAACACTCCGCAGGGAAAATGTTAAGCAGATCCAGCAGATAAAGTAATTCAATTTCAGCCCTGAAATAATAGCATCATTTGCCAAGAAATTAGCATCCGCCACCATCAATCAGCACGGCGGAGGACTAAGACACGCAGCACCCACCAAGGGCACGGCTTTCTGTGAAATTTAACTCGTTTATCAGGTCGCTTTACCGTAATCACAGCAACAAAGAGCACCCATCCGTTTCTGTTGTTTTGGTCTTGTGTGTTCAGCTTCTAACATTTTACCTTTCAAAGGTTCACTAAATGACTCTGAAGTGAATTTGTGACTAGTTGTTGGAGAGATGAAACCCCTCTGATGTGATGGGGACATTTTAACCTTCAGCACATGCAGAAACTACCTAATGGTCATGTAAACATCAAAGTTCATGCTAAAACTTTTGTATGACCTTCTTCACCACTCTCTCCTTATTCTGCTCTCCCCACCTATTCCACCATCCTCAGGATCCACTGATTTTCCTCTTTCCTATTCACTCTCTCTCTTTCTTAACATTTTTTAATCACAATTGTCTATTTTTTGCTCATTTTAAAAATATTTTTAACCATTTTCTAAATTCTTTTTTATATTTTTACATTTTTTGTTTTTGTGAAACGCCTCGTGAATTTTATCTTGAGAGGCGCTATGGAAATGATATTTTCTTCCTCTTCTTCTTCTAAAACGCAGGGTGAGCTGGAGGACTTTACAAGGTGGTTCCCTCTGAGCAAAGCATCCAGACACAGGAAATGGAGCTAACAGTAGTTTGTCCCTGACCAGTCCATTACAAGAATGAAGGTGACTCTAGAAACACTGACCATTAAGACTTAGCTCCGCAGGTCGGTCTAGCCATGCTTCCATGTAGCCACAGTAGGTCTACCATTTTGTGTCTGACCAATGACAGCACTCTGTGTTTGTTGGGCAGATTTGGACTTGGGCTTTTTTTGAGTGTAGAGCAGATGGAGGTACAGAAGTCATTTATTAGGGAAAAAGATGGATTTGCTTCTCCTGTGATGGTGTTTGTCTGATTTGTGTAGCGAGTAGTACGTTTTGCTGTTCTGATTGGTCCCAGCGCTGTTCACACTCCGTAGGGTCTGTCTACAGTCACATTTACAGGATGGTGTCCAGGCTAGCTCATTCACAATGGAATGGTGAAACCTTTAAACTAAAACAACCTGTTAATCATTGGACCAGTATCTGATCAGTTAGAGGCCTACTGATGTTTGGGCTTCTTG